ATTCTCTAGACTGCCCACACTGCTGTACAGCCTGCCAAGCTTGGTGGACTTTGCAGGTGATATGACACCTTGGGGGAGAGTTTGTGGTTTTTCATACTAAAACTCCTGCCCATGTTTGCAGTAGAACTATTTATGGCTCTTCCTCCAACTACAGAGACAGTGCTGGTGGGATTTCTGAGGCCTTATGCAGTGTGATGAGACAACCTGCTGAAAAGAATATAAAAGCTTGTCTAAATTTAAAAACTAGAGGTATTTACCAACAGAGAGCAAAGACTCAGGCAGTGCACATTATCTACCGCAGAAATTAGCAAGTGCCATACAGGTTGAGGGAGATGAATGACCATAGATGCTATAAAAGATGAAAAAAATTAGTAACTACTTTTTCCCCTGCAAGTATCCCCTTTAAAATATCCAGATGCTACTTTCCCAGCGAACTACCTTTTTTTAACCATATCATTCAATCCCAGCTGAGCCTGACCCAAAGAATATTGCAATGTCCTCCTCAAATCCCAAATCCACCTTCCACTCCTCCAAAGCTGGTGTAGCTCAGAGCTTCTTCAAGTTCAGATCTTAGTCAAGCCCAGTGCACACTCACATCACCTGCAGAGGAGGAAATTCTACCTGCACTGAAATTTCCAAAGATGTTAGCATTCTGCGTAACTCACTACAAAAAATTCGGCAACACAGATTGCTATGGTGCATTATTGTGGAAACAGTTCCTTAGCTTATCTTCTTTTCATACCCTCTGGAGAGCTGAAAAGTAATAGGGTCAAAGCAGGAAACTCAGCTGAGATGAACTCTTAATGTATTTCACACAATTTTTTCATCTTCTCCCCCTTTATTTGTTTTCCAAACTCCAGCTTTGCAATTTTTCCATCCATCTGTTTTCAGTAACTGATTATAGAAATACCGCATTACAAGATACTATCCCAGGATCCTGCACAAAATCCCACCACAAGACTAAATACTGAACAGACTTTGGGCTGTAGATACACCCAAGGGACTTGATGAACATTTGGATCTTGGTAGAAGCCAGCTGAGAGAAACTGCTGGCCCATTTTTAAGTGCTCAGTGCTACTACATAGGAGATGCCTGGTTTAGCAAGGAACCCTAGGGACGGGCCCCCAGATGAAGTCCCATCCAGATGTTCATAGTATACTACATTGCCCAGGGTCCCATGGAAGACAATCTCTTCAGAAGCATGGTGAGCAAAAGGGAGTGAGAGAAGAAAAAATGTCTGCTGAGCACATACAGAGAAATAAAAAGAAAAGCACTGGCTGAGCTCCAGGAATTAAAATCTGGCCCCACTGAAGTAGGTGGGAGCTTTGCCACCAAATTTCAATGGAGACAGAATTTCACCCGATGCGAACAGCACTCTGGAAATATCCTCCCTCCAGACACACTGTGGGAGCTCTTCTGGCTCTGAATACTCACTGGCAACGCAGCGAGGGAAATTAAACCCAAAACAAGGCAACAATACCAGAATGATTAATCAACAAACAAAAAGGATGCAACAACAATTAAGCAAAAAGTATTGCAGAAGTGGGTGGAAAGAAGGCGGCAAGTCCTTTACCTCCTGGACCACTGAACTTTGCCAGGAATAAGGTGGGATGCCAGGACTCGTGGTGCTGGGTACAGGGTGTCGTGTCAAGACTGCACTGGAGGCAGTCTGCACAGATTCAGTAACAAGAGGAAAGAAAACTTCTAGCACAGATTCAGCCTTGGAGTATGCTCCCGTCACTAATGCTATATAAAGAGGCCAGAACCTAGCAACTTCAGCAAAGATTCCTAGGAGCAATCAGCGTCATCGCTTACAAATTCCCAGGCAGGCTAGTTCACAGAAAGGGCACGCTCAGCAAGCTCTGCAGTTGTGTAACTATGAGGATTCTGGAAATGAGAAATACAATGCCTGAATACAATAAACAGACACAATGTCTATAAAGCCTCATCTATATGACAGCTATGACCCAGTTATTTAGCCTACAATTGTCCTCTGATTTAGTTAGCATTTGGTTTCATACCACAACTACACAGTGGTCCTGGATGTTCCCCTTTCACTGGCTGAAGAGTTCAGGCTGCCTAAGATGCTAAGTTCTACCTTTCAGAGTGCCTGAACACCCCAAACCCACATAAGGCAGCTGGAGGGACAAATTCCCATCACTGCTGGAACTCAGCCCCTAACTCCCAACCAAAGACCTCTTCTTTGCTGCAGCTGTGCTGCAAAAAGGGACCAAACAGCTCTGTTTCTGGGAACTACTGCAAATTGCACCACTTTGGACGTGGTGATGATGGCATGTGAACTTGCACACCTACCACTGACTAATATTCAAGTATTGTATTCCACTTCGACATGAGAAATCCAGATGAGGATTCGTGCCTACATATCAATGATGGGTGAGTGACAACAGCTAACCAAGCAGTAAACCAGAGCTCCCTGAGTGACTGTGTGTGACAGGCGCAGCATAGGCAGGCACCCACCAGGGTCTGGAAGCTCCCAAAGTCTTTTGAGCTTTCCTCAAGACTCCTCTTTCCTCACAAAACAACTGGAACGGTCTGTTTTTAGCAGTGGGTCCCCAGCCACTCCTGTGATGGCGTGAGGCTCACAACCTTCACAGAGCTCAGGTCATCTGCCAGTTTCCCCTCTCTGGTCTCTTCTTCCTCTCTCTCTCTCTCTCAAATAACCAGGGGAAAAACCTTTTTACAGTCCTTCCCCAGACCACATGGCCAGTCTCTTCAGGTGATAGAGATCTCCTGAAGCTCCATGGTTTGCTGCCTCATTACTTGTGTGCCTGGACAGACCACTGGTCTTGGTGTGAGTTCCTTGTCCATGGGCTCTGCTGTCAGCCCTCAGGATTACCCAGTGTTAGTATCTATTGCCTGCCGCTATTAAAGTTATCGGGAAAAACAGAGGGCACCCAAGGCAAAAGAAAGCATCTCTGCAGGCTCTGCAGTACTCTGCTGGCTCAGAGCAAGTTTTTCACGCAGTTACTTAGCTGGCAACTTGGAAAATGAAGAACAAATGTGCTTGGACTGACACCGATCCTTCTGCAGACTCTGGAAACAAACCTAGAGGGGAAGAGAGTGGCTGGAGAGTTACTGAGCTCTTGTGCTCCCTGGCTGCCTTACCACCATTGTTACCTCTGATGACAAACCAGAAGAACTGCTTCTTGATGTGCCAAGATCCTGGGATGAAAAGCATGGACTTCCCCGAGTGCTGGGCTTTGCACCAGGCTGCCAGCTCTTCTCAGCATGAGCCATGCAGCTGTGGGTGTAAAGGGCACACCACGGCCCTCCTTCCCAAATTCAATAGCGGACCTTGTGAAGAACAGCAGGACAAGGATAGTTACCTGCCAGAGGAGCTACTCCTCCCTGGAGCTAAGAGGGTACAGCTGAGACCAGTGTCTAGCCCAGTCTTTAGTTATGTTGTGGTACTTTGAAGTAAAATCTGTCCTTCATGGTTTAAATCAGTCTCAAATGCATTTGAAAACAATTACTGGAAGGAACAAAATAACATCTCACTTTGAACTGCTCTTGCCAGCACTCAAGGAGGCTTGAGAAAGTTGTATGCCACCAGCTGACAGGCTGGCCACGGATGACAGCTGGGCTATAACTTTGCTGCTCACCCCTTGCTGGATCCAGGACTTAGACTATCAAAGGACCAAACCCGAAACCAGTACCTAATTCACAAAGGGAGAACTTAAAAATCCACTTCTGGCTAAGATTGCAAGTTCAGCGTTTCCAGAAGTTACTTTCACTGCCATGACACTGGCTGCAATACGAGGGAAAATGCGATTATCAAGTCTCTCCACAGAGTACGGAGACGAACGTAAAATCATTTCAGCCTAGTCCTCTCATCTTTCTCCTGCCTTTTACGCATCATATTATTACTGGCCTTCTTTTTCATGCTGAGGCCCGTAGTAGTACCTAGAAATGGTTGAAAATGTATAATTTTTTCTAGGACCTATGCTGACTCCATACATAAACCTGTATTTTATCACAGACTTCTACCTCCCTTCAAGTATATCTAATGATTTTCTACAACAGTCTTGTCAATAGTAACACATCAACCAGTATCACACAGATAAGTATTTTCTACCGATCTGCTATTTTACCTAAAAATGAGAATTTTAGACTAGTACAATCCTCACTCAGAACAGCTGACAAGATTCTTTTTAAACTGTCAGAAGTAGATTTTCAACAAAGAACATAATTTTTAGGAACAGAGACACATGCAGACATTTAGAGAGTTATTGGTTCAAATGGTGCCCCTCAAACAAGTGAAAACTAAACACACTGAAAACATCCAGAATTCTTTTTTTTGTAAAAATTGGCAGCCTTATTTCACTATGCTCAGGTTTCCAAGTACAGGAACTTTGACCATCGATCCTTCTGAAGTAAGAAGTCCCAAGTATGAATAAATAACCAGATGAGCTTCAGTTGATGTAAGAAGATAAAGGAAAGGCAAACCCAGAATTCAACACACTTTTTTTCTTGACCAAAGGCAGTAAAAGTGATCACTGTGTTCGCTATTTATTCTACCATACGCAGGTAAAAGTAACTTCCACATAGTAACATGTAGCCCAGCGAGGAAGCACAGGCCAAAGGACATGCACCAATCTGCTTCGCAAAGAAGCCAGGTGATACATGGCGGGTAATTATGGTGAATGGGATCGCTTACTATAAACAGTATCTGAAGAGGACTGTAAGTTTATATTGTTTTGTGTTGACTGAAATAGCTTGTTCTGTCCATGCAGGGGACTCCAATTAGAGTTTGCTATTCAACACACCGATTTGCACACAGGCTGGAAGTGCTTGCAGTACAGAATGACATGATACTTAAATTTACTTACCCTGTAGATTTCTGCTCGGCTTAAAGTAAGGTCATTGCTCCAGTGAAAAAGCCCTCTCAACGGTCATTTTTCCTGCACTAGAGATTGGTTTGTGATTCAAGTTTCTAAACATTTATTTCAGTGCAAATTCTGTCAGAAAGAGGAACTTACTGCTCGTTGTGAAGTTACCCTCCCCAACCTGGGGAAAGGAGTCTACGTCTTGGATGACCTGTAGTACTCCCACAGTCCGTGCCGGGGGATCCAGGGCTACAGAGCTCTCGTTCACTGTTATATCGCTGGCTCCCGTTATCTGGTTGGTTGGCGGTCCTCCTATAGATGCTTCCAAGTCTGGAGGTATATCATCCATGCAATCTGCATTTGGCTAATGGGAAGAAAAAGAAGAAAACTGAGCGTTTACCTGATAAAAAGATTTAATTTACCTGTTCCCACTTCTTTAGGGTTTTTCACTTTCTTTCAGTACTGAAAATGGCAACATATGATAAATAAACATGCACAGTTTGTTTGTCTTCATGTACTTGAAACTTCTTAATATAATCTGTTGCAAGAGAGACCCAAAGTATGCACTGGAAATACTCAGTATTAAACTGTGTCAGCTATAATCTTATATTTTTTATGTATTTATTACGTATTCTTATTTACACTTTTAAAGGGTTTGGGAGAGTGCACATAAAAAAAAAAAAGTAACTCACTTATTGATACGATCTCCTCAACATAGGCAGATTGCTGAGTCAGATTACAAATGTAAACAGAGACAGTAGCTGAAGGGGAATGATTATCTTTCCCCTAAATATACATTTTATAGAGCCAATATCAGAGCTTTCAGGAATAGGAATTCAAGGGAACTGCCTGTGGGCGCATCTATGTGTGGGGTGCAAAAATAGAAGCTAAAGCTGTTTATAAGACAAGATTTTTAACATCAAAAGATCTTTTCCTTTGCTAATGCCGTATTTCCTACAAAATAAAATTATGAGAAAAGAAACAAACAAGCAATAACAAGTATTTGAAGAGTATTATTTGTTCCACAGTCTTTCTTGCTTTCTGATTCAGAGAGACCAGGGATGGAACCCAGTTCTGGGGAATTTAGACACTTGCCTCTTGCAGTTACATAGTGAACCCACCAACACCTCCAGAACGACTCTTCAAGTCAAGCATCTGCCTTTCCATTGACCTTCTAGGGAAGCAATGAGAGGCGGTTGTGGTGCCCACCTTCGACGCAGTATCCTTAGCCTTGAGCGCCTGCTCATGAAGAGCACTGAGACTTCAAGTGGGCACTGGGTGGCAAAGAGGATCGTTTGTCCGGAGACACTAGGTCCAAGACTAGTTTCTACCCTTGATTTCTCTGGGTCTGTTATAAGCCTGACGCTCCCATTCATACAGCAGTGATTTCTATGGAGCTCCCCATAAACACTAGTGACAAACTTATGAGTAAAAAACTCATTTTCCTCTAAGAGGAAACAGATTCTTGCATCATTTGCCCATAGAACCAGGTCTAGTTCTCCCCAAGGCAAGGAGAGAAATTGTTTGCATAACTATTTCAAGAACTGCATTTGGAAGTTTTAACGTATTGTAACAAAACCAAGGCTAATTCAGAAATGAGGATGCTGTGTGTTAGGTGCAAAGTTTCCAAAGTGACAGAGGGACATAGCAAGGTTGAGCTGCAATTACGCAGATACCTTGAGAAGTTAGGAAATGCAAAGTTGTTCCCATTTATCTTTATTGTCCAGACTTCAGACAGCTCATCTGGATCAGTCACTTAGTCTTCCTCCTGCTTCACTAGTTTGAGACAATTTTGCTGTGTGATTTATCCCACGCTAAGGTAAGTGGTATGAATTGCCCTCTCTGCCTTCCCACTGCTCAGCGCTAAGCAGAGATGGGGCTTAAGCTGCTAGACGGGAAATCCAATGTCTGGGTGGCTAAAGTCTGAGGAGATGTACTCTGCTCTGTGGATCTGATCTCACTACCTGCCTATCGCCAACAGCAGGCACCTAGAAACTAAGCAAAATATGATACAGCAAAGACTTAAGCAGAGGCTTAGCTTTAAGCACAAGAGTAATTCCTTTGAACCCAGGCATAGAAGGTTACCATATGCTTACATTTCTGCAGAACCAGGAACTTGGCATGTTTTCTCTTTTCCCACACATTCCCTGCCTGATTGTTGCCACCTCATAAATAATTTTTCACAAATATTCCTAATGAAAAAGGCAGGCATTTTAAACAATCCTCAGGTGACTTGTATCCACAAACTGAAGTTTGGGAAAAAATTAGAATTGTCATTTTCTGGCTCCAGTCTAATCTACAAGCAGCGAGAGCTCCTCAGAACCAGGATAAAGGCACATTCAGCTATACCAGGCTTTAATGAAACTCATTGAACCTGTACTTTTCTAAGTGAAATACCAATCATTTCTCTGTAGGATTTGGATCCAAAATTATTCCTTAGGCCTATCACAACTTTCCCTCACTCTTGGCTGTTATAACAAATGCTTTCAGAATTCCATTTTTAACTTGAATTTGGCTTTGATGGCAGTTTATCGTAATGAAAAGAAAGGCCTGTTTGTTCTTTTCTACTCTAGGAAAAACTATTTCAATTTTTTTTTCCAAAGGATCAGTTGTCTGTCCTTTGCTCTGATTCCAGTTACTCCTAGAATGGGGTTTTTATCACTAACTTTTAAACCTTTAAAAATGAGGGATTATAATTGAAAGCCAACCCAAACATTAAAGATGCAAAAACAGAATTGCTCGATATAATTAATCCCTTTACTCCTGAATCATTTTAGTTGGAAAAAATACCCCAAACTAAGCAGCATACTATAAAACTAATGATATGAAATACTGATCGAAAAAAATACATTATGGCTTTTGCTGTCAGTGTGACCCAGATACATTTGCTAAGTTTAATTATATTGGTTTCACTCATTCCCTGCATGTAAGTGCTTTGAGGGCACAATTCCACTAAAGTCAAGGGAAGGCTTTGTATTGACTTCTGAGGGCTTGGCTAAGGCTCTGGGTGAATAGCTTCAAGTCATCCAATCTGCTGCCAAAAATGCAGCTGCCTGCATATCCAGCAGATATTTGCAGAAAAAGGGGAGAAACAGAGGGAAACTATTTTATGTGATATGATCATCCCAACAGCAATGTAGCTCTTTGAAAGACACTTTCACTAATAATTCATTTCAAATATTACAGCCAAAAGAGGTATAGTCTGAGATTCACCAGCAGAGAGACAGTGGAAAAGGTTACGCCAACCGTTTGCGGATAGACGGTTAGTTAACAATCCTCTGGAGCCGCAGGCTGCCACGGTGAAAAGCAGAGATGCTAGGGTGCTCAGATACCGTGAAAATGAGTGCAGTCATTTTGGTGCCTCATGGCAGCCTGCGGAAGCTGGTTTTAGGGCAGATAATGTTTGAAATCTCGGTTACAAAGTAAATGGAGAGTTCAGATGTGAACTGAATTGAAACATTTAGGTATTTGGGTTTTAACCAATCGTTTCCTGGAAAATCCCAAGTCTTCCTGCTAGATGAAGCACAATATAATCACAGTCGCACAAGCCAGCTCTTTAATAACAACCATAGGACAAACATGCAGCTGGCAGGAAAAAAAAACATATTAGCCCTGCCTATGTTAAGATTTCCTCATTCCTCCTATTGTAAAAGTCTGCAAAAGGACTTTGGCAAATTCACTCAAATTCACTCAAAAGACACTCAAGTCTCCCATCAGAGACTGCTGCCTGCCTAAGGCTGCTTTTCTGTGTGTGGAAATTTCAGCTAAGATGGCTCAGCAAGACTCAAAATTATGTGATTAGGGAATGGCCTTTGCTTTATCCACTCTCCAGAAAAGTTTGCCACCTCTCACTGAGAAGCCCTAGAGCTTTACAGCTTCTTCCAGGGAAATGTCCTTTCCCACCACAGCCTACTGACATCTGGCTAAGTTAACGAGCCTCTGAAAATACCAGTTCACGTCCGCTGATAGAGACCGGTGGCTTATTTGGGACCCACAATCTCTCCAAAGAGAAGGCGGCTTTGCATGATGGCACCAGAAAGCACCCCATGGGATGGATGCCCACCCTGGGCTGCCCTCAGCTGGTGCCAGGCAGGGAAAACGGTGAGGACGTGCGATTTCTGTGTGGGTGGAGAACAGGTCCTGCAAGCTGAGCAGGGACCACAAGCAGCGACACCAGGGCAGGAGCTCAAGAGGATAAAGGTTGGGCAGGAGGAGTTTATGCCGAGGAGAAGCAGGAAAGGGCACAGGCAGGAGAGGGAGAAGCAGGAGTTGAGGCCCATTTTAGAAAAAGAAAGCAAAGAAAACAGAGTAAGAGGAACAGTATAGGAATTTTTAACCCCCAAGCTACCAGATACTCTTAGACTCTCACTTCTTTTGCTGTCAGCCAGAGGAACTCCCTGACACGAAGGCTACCATCTGCTCCCAGTTCCCATGGACAACAGCTCCTACTGTAAGTCACCTCGAGGAACACGGCTCTAGCGTGCTGTGCTCCCTTCATGAACCTAACCAACGATCCATGTGGGTGGAAGCCAGTATGCTTCCTCCAAATGACAGAGCAGGTTATTTTCAGTTCCTTGTCTTAGAACAACCTAGGGAGATTTTTACAGAAATTCAAACAATAAAATCCTCTAAACAAACTTTGCTAGTGGAACATTAACATCCAAGCACTTGATTTTCAGAGTTAAGACAGACCAGCACCAAGGCTGATTCTGAAATCTTAATTTGACCCAGTTGTTTATGTTGGTTACAGCAGTATCTTTAATTATGTACCCAGCATAATTATTTCCACAGAAACTCCATGCTGAAAGCTCTCAGTGAGGGAAGCAGCATGGATCCCCATTCTGCAACGCGGTACAGAGAGAACGAGACAGGGAGCTGTGAGAAGAGAAACGATGGCTGAGGAAACCGAATGGCGCTTCTAATTATTCCTTGCAATTAGGTTCTATACCTGCCACTACAGAGCTGTTCATAGGTGGTAAAAGTCAGCCTTATAAACCAAAACCTTCACACATGGCCTCTGGGCATGTTTTCCTTTCCCCTCGATGTACTCTGCCTCAGACAGCCTACAGACAAGCTCAGCCTTCAGCAGCTGTCAGTGAAGTCAGCGAGAGTTGTATTCTGGATGTAAACACTGACTGATGGTACTAAACTTTCTGGAAAGACCTTAATATCTCACTACAGGCCTCCAAAAAGTGGAGGTCTGATTCGTCCATGTCCCCTGCTTATGAAGCTGGATGAAGGGCATGTTAATGAAATCCTTGGGCAAAAATGGGAATGGAAGAGTGTGAGAGCAGAAATTGTGTGGTCCTGCATGGTGCAGAAGAAAGCCATGGAACAAGATACTGGGTACAGAGGAGAGGTGCCAAAATCCTGGGTGACTGCTCACTGGCAAGTCTGCAAACTGAGCCATGGAACCTGGGTAAAAATTTCTGTATTTAAGCCTAGGTGCTGGGATGCTGAATGGCAGAGCCAGTCTTCATTGTGGCCTTTCCTGACATCTCAAATACTGATTTAACAGTTGTATCATCTTAATATTCTAAAGATAATATACATGCTTAGCAGAACAAGTAGCCTGACTGTAATGACAAGTTACCCTAACTACAATGCTCTACTTTTTTCCCATTGCGTATTTTTAGCTTGGATCATATTAGGTTGATTAATATATCTGCCTACTTCAGTAAAAACATACTTCATCACTTGCTACAGAACCTCTTCTGCAGCAACCTGCTTGGTTTCCCAATCTCCATGAAAATGAACTCTTAGTTCATTTGTTCATTAGTTCATTAGTTGTCCTTGACTGGTATAGAAGGGAAAATTTTATTTGCAGACCTTCTGCCTTGAGATTTGAATGGAGAGCATGATTAAAAAAAATAAATCCAGTCCTGATTTAAAATACAAACAAAAGCCATGTGAAAGAATCTATAAATCCACCAAAACACCAGTAAACAATCCTCTGCTCCACAAAGCAGGCAACCACAGACACACAGATCCCGACACCCAACCAACCCCCATATACACACTCTTCCTTGCTAATAACAGTGGGACACAGGAGAGAGGTAGTCAGACATTCCTCTCGATAAGTCAATTAATAAATCAATAACATGGCAAGAAGAGTAGGATGGGAACAGACAGGCAAAGGGCTAGGGATATACCCAAGTAGCTGGTGTGTCCCTTCTGCCCTGATCGGCTGCTCTGCTACTGTACTTACCGGGATCCCTAGAGCTTTTAGAATATTCATTTTACACATCGGGCAGGTACGATGGTCTAGCAGCCAGGGGTCTACACAGGACTTGTGGAAAAGATGCCTGCAATGAAAACCAGGATATTTTAATTCAAATCCACGACAGCACAATGCTTTTTCTGAATTCAGTAAAGTGAGAGTTTTTCGAATAGTGTGGTTTGTGACCTCTGTGAGGACTCCAAAACTATACCCTATGCACACATGACTAAAATTATTTCTGCAGCATCTCAAGCATATGTGCACAGTGTTGCTCAACTGAATTTGGAAAATTAGAGAATTAGGAAAAATACATAAAGTGCATCAAACCCCACATTCTTTAAATGTTAAAGGCTGTCAGTAAACAAAACCTGCTTGCTGGTAAAGGTAAAAATCACATTGGTATTTCTTGATGGTTCTACAGACAAACCTGATTACACATGCTTTAAATGTGAAGTGACAGAGGATCCGGTATTTTTTAGGATGCAGGCATAAGGAAATAAAGAGAATCAAGAAAAAAAAGCTACTTTTCATTTAAATGGAAAAAACAGGATGATGCTTTATAAAACATTCTCCCTGACTTCCCTGCTCTTTAGAAGCTGCCCATCAGAGTAAGCTCCTGAACGGTTCCAGCCCTGAAGGGGTTGTTGCTAATCCTGTGCTCGGTCTGAAGTGACCACTAAGCAACTACCTGAGCCCTATGGCTGCTGGAGGCCACTTTTCTTAGACATTATCCAGGTGGAGGAACCGAAAGCTTCTTGTCTAGCTTCGCCTGACACAAACTGAGATTGAATATAGAGATATTCAGTGCGGGTACATGACTGACAGATTGTGTTTTCTCTTGCAAGCCTATTCTGTTATCCTGTGGTTACAGAGAACAAATGTCATAAAACACGGGAATGAGGGGCTTGGGATTTAAGAAATGCTGTTGAGTAGGCCAAGTGGAGGACTCGGGGCTCAGCCCAAGGCAGTGAAGTTTGTACAGCCCCACTCCTTCTGAAGAAAAGGAGGAAAGTTTCCTACCATGCACATAGCCTCAGAAATGACACTGCCATGCAGGAAATGGAAAATTGACTTGCCTTCCTAAAACCCTTTTTTAAGCAATTAATTGAATAGAATAGTTCAGTTGGAAGGGACCTTAGTCCAACTGCCTAATATAACTTAATAACTTAAGCAAAATTGAAAAAGGGTATTTTATTCTGAAATATGAGGCTCGATACACATACACAGTCTTGCTCCAAAAGGTGCAAACTAAGACTAATTTGCTTGGTTTGAAACACCATATAGATTAGCTCTGAATTTCCTTTCTAAGGCCTGCAACAGGTGTCCCACATTTTACTACGCAGAGCCTGAAAGTCATATTTCAGTCTGCTTGAACTTTTACATTTGATCAGTCTCTAGTCTGTTTCCCTGTGCTCCCACCGCCCCACGTGCATCGTTCGTACAGCACAGCCATACAGACCCCGCAGGTAACGGCAGGTGGACACAGCGCACAGCTGCCCAAGGCCAGTTGCATGAGGGTCAACAAGACCAAGTGCCGGGCCTTGCAC